CTTTTGGGCTCCTCAGTTCCAGAAAGACATCAGCATACTGAAGCAAGTCCAATGGGGTGTCATCAAGATGGTTTGAGGCTGGAGCATGTGGCATATGGAAGAGGCTGAGGGAACTGGGGTTGGTAGCCTTCAGAAGAGAAAGAGAAGAAGGTCTTATTGCTGCCCGTGTTTAGGTAGAAGCAGGGGGTAATGAAGACAAGGCCAGGCTTTTCTCAGATGTGTATTGTGTGAAGAAAACATTTTTCACCATTAGGTTTAGTGTTTAACTAGAAAGGGATTGCACAGAGGGCTGTAGGTTTCTGCCCCTGGAGATAACTCAAAAGTGACTGGGCAAGGTCATCACTGTGATGAGCAATCTGCTCTTGTTGCACCTGCTTTGAGCTGGAGCTGGACTGGATAACCCCAAGGATCCCTTTCAACCTAAATATTTCGGATTTTTATTATGATTTCATCATGAATATTATGATAATAGTTGTATTAAACTTCTATGATGTTTCACACAAAATCCTGTATTTCAGAAAAAAAACCTCTCTCTGTAATCTGAACTAATGAATATGACTTAATTTTGCTCATAAACATGGTAATTAAAAATGAAAGTGGAAAAATATGTAGTTAGGGTGGACCATAGAGCAAAATTAGAGCCAAAGGAAAAAAGATGCAGTGTTGCCATTATACTATGATAGCAGAAAACTTATCTGTATGCTAAATATGAGTGTTTGGCCAACGTATATTTAGAAAATAATGTATTTTCAAGTACATTCGTGCACCTTCATTACTGGAAAGCTGTTTTGACTGCATCCTCGTCCTTCATCAACTCAACATGCTAACAATCAAACATGTCAAACTTTCATATTGCTTTAGTTAGTGATGAAAGGACTACTCAGAAGCTTCTAAATTTAAAATACAGGAAGGCCAATTTAAATTAATTGCAAATTAGAAATAAACTTTTAAAAAGAAAAAAAAATGCACAGCAACTATATTGGAATAGAAATAAAAAGGTGACAAAATTACATTGTTATTTATGACAATGCCAGTTGTAATTTTTATACTTCTTTTTATACATGAGGCAATAGCATGATATTAAAAGTAAATACACCCAAAAAATAGAGTCAATTTTTTTTAAGTAGTGTTCTTTAAGAAGGTCAGTATCTCAGCAGTTGGCAGAGAAGACTTTGAATAGACATTTGATGACAAATGCTGCAGCCCAGAAACTCCCAGCTCAGTCTGGAGCGTGTGTTTGCTCAGTAGTTTTGAAGCTGAATAAGGTTACAGTTATGTCACACATTGTTGCTTATATTCACTGGGGAGCACATGAAGCTTAACAAGTCACAATTGGTTGAGCTTGTCAGCAGAATTGATCAACAAGTGTATTTGAAAAGAAAGATGGAAAAATAGATGCAGTCAGTTTTCTGAAAGTGCTCCTCAGATTTTACTGCGAGTATGACTACTTAGCTGAGGTGAGACAGTGTTTTGATTTTTCTTTTTTTCCCCACAATTATTTTATGTTGCTCTAATTGACCGGACAAGGTGGGACCCTTTAGAAGGGATGGGGAGATTGCTCCTTCCTGAAGAGCAATGAAGCTTGGTCATGAAAGGAAAGACTTCAAAGGGTGCAGGGTACAGGAAGCAAAGGAAGCTCAGTTAAAAACATGAAGCTTACAGTTTGTGGACTGACTGTTGAGTTAAGAGAGTTCCTGTAGAAATGGGAGTGAACGTCAGAGCGAGCGCCAGTCAAACCTCAGAATAATGGAATGAAATTGCTAGGGTCCGAGGAGGACTGTGTAGACTTTGCAGCAACTCAGCACCTCCTCCAGTTGGCTAAGACTGAGTAGAGAGGCAGGGACCCAGTTGTGAGGAGACAAGGGCAAAAGGTGAAGGGGAGAAAAGCCTCTAGTTGATTTCTGCAGGGGAATGATGAAGTGTTTTCTCTAAGGTTCTTCTGTTTAAATGTTAAGCTCTACTTTTTACTCTAAAAGTTGTTAGGGAACTGGGGAGTTGAGCCTTTCAGTAGTCTTAAGGAGAGATATATATCCATCCCAAAGCTTTGATCGCTTTAGGATCTCATCATAATTCATAAATCTGAAACAGCAAGTATGTTTTAGGGGCACGATGTATGCATTTGTGATTTGCTTTTTTATTTTGTGAATATTATAACAGTAGAGAAAAAAGTTCCTCAATATTTTGCTTTACTTCTGTTTTGCATTCAAAAGCATCTTTATAATGTTATTTACTTACTGAAAAATGGCTAACAAGCAAAAAATCAGTAATAAATATGTAACATTCCAAAACTCAAATTTTACCCTAAAGCTTCGCATTGGATAGGAACTGTCTATAGAAGACAAGTATGTAAGAGCAGCGTATTTAGCTTCCTTCTTATGAGAGTATTATGTAAAATCCGTGGAAAGCGGTGTTAGTAAACTTGTATCTCCATTAGTGGAGACATTCCTGTTACATACATTTAGAGGGGATTTATAACAGACTTAGGTTCTATTGAAGAAGAATGTTGCTTTTGTTAATTTATCTAGGATTGGTAAAATCTCTACAGATGATTCTTAAATAAAAAATAAACAATATGCATATTTTAATATGTATCTAGCCAATACATCTATGATAAAGAGTATGTTGTGAGTATTGTGATATACAATTATGTCACTTGCCTCAACACTGGCATAGTATTAACTGCACTGCATAAAAATCCAATATTTAAGAGGTTATTTAAAAAATACTGAGAACAAAAGTTGATGTGAAAGAAGGAAATGAGAAGAAATCATTACCATTTTTTAGTTATACAGCTTTTCTGCATTTCCATTAATGTAAAATTTGTAGGGGGGTTTTGTTAGTACTCCATACTAACACAGCATAGAATAGAACAGCAGATACTATATATACCCTCATTTATTGATATGTAATCCAATAAAGACTCTATTCAATAGTATAGTTTCTATTCCTATCTATTTGTGGTGTGATAGTGAGATGTCTGAAAGCACTTTACAATTAGCACATTCACAATTTAAATGTCTTACTGCAAGCCACATACTTTGAATATTATGGTAATTTGAAATAACTAATGTTAGGAACCCTTTCTTTATTACTGTAAAAACCGATTATGTGTTGGAGACTGCACTTCCCTGTATGTACTGACTTTTGATAAGCCCTTTGTTGAAAAATTAGAGCAATGCAGTTTACTCTTGAAGACAGATAAGCACTGTTATAGATTGCCTGAGGAAAGCATAAAAACTATCATTTGAAGCTTAACACATTCAATATCCATCAAGGATGGGGTGCAAGTGACAAGACTATTTCTCTACAGCCCTTCTAGCTCTACTTTTATACTACCTTGATGGGCTCGGCTTTAGGAATTTGACAGCATTCTTCTTGTCACCCTTCTTATTTATCAGGTCTAAATCCGTGTTTGGTCTGGGAGAAACTGAAGTCAAGACTAGGGGAAAGTGCCTTGCTATTACTAAGTTCTTCAATTTACACTTGTGGGAATGTTTGGATAATCCATGAAAGTTGATTATTTATTTATTTATTTTTCTTTAGCACCTACTGCTTCTTGATTCAAATGCGCTGGATACCTTTTTTTTTTTTTTTCCTAAATAAATAGGTAGCTTAGGACTGAGAAAAATTCTGAGATGACAGAATTTAATGGCCCTGAGCAATTAACACTGCATACTGTAATAGAATTATTGTAGCCAAGCTGCAGCCAAAGAGACAGTTTAAGGAATGGGCAGAGACTATAACAAAGTCTATTGTTAACGTTGCCTACTGGCCTTACCATGTTAGACCACATTTTCGGTTGTTTCTTACTCTTCCAGACTCTTACACTCTTGTTCAGGTGACTGATTTAAGCTCAAACCTGATCCTTTGGTCTCTTCCTGAACTGTGGTACAGTCTCCAGCCCTGTCTGTGCCTAGCAATGGACCTGGCAATGATCTGGACCTGGACCAGTGGACAGACTTCACAGCTTGACCTCAGCGCTACCTCACTACCGAGGGTTTTGCCAAAGGGCTGACCCTGATTCGCTATTAATAGGGGAACTAAAGGGGTTTATTTTTGCACAGGTTTATAGAAGGAGATCTGTATTTTTCCTGAAATGCTTGCTCCCATCTTTCTAATGGGGTGTATGGTGGAGTAGGAGCAGGATATTGGAACTGGATGAGTGTCCCATCTTGTGTTATCTCATCCTTTGCTTAGTATTGCCAGGGGAAGGAGGGATCACAGCAGAGAGAGGTTGAGTAGTGCATTTAGGATGCCAGAGCAAATTTGGGAGAAATGTTGCAGAGAAGGAACTTCTGATCAAAAAGTGGATGAGGGATCTAGAAGAATTCAGATATGGTCTAGAAGTTGAAGATTTGCATTTAGCAGGCATACACCAGAATCAAAGGAGCAGGATGAGGAAAAGTACGATGGAGTAGGATTAAGAAAATTAAACTGGGGCAGTTTAGAGAAGAGTATAACAGGAGGATAAGGCAGAAGAGCCAGGAAACTGTGTTATTTTGTGCCTAAAACTGTAGGAACAAAGATAAAAGTTGAAAAAATCCATTAATACTGGTATTCAGTTTGAGAAATCTGTATACCAGCTGCTGCCATACTATCTGGTTATAATGACCAGATACTGCGTATTTGGGTAGCAATAGAGCAGAGAAACAGTGAATATCTGGCAAGTATTCAGGTGAATCTTTGCAATAGAATTAGGCAGCAGAAAGTGAGGCAGTGCTGTTGGGTTTCCTTCAGCAGTTTTTATGAGCAGATAGTTGTTTCTCTTCATGGTCCTTTGCATTGGTCCTGTAGACAACAGTGTTTCTCTTCACACTGACACCGCTTATTGCTAGAGCAGTTAGAAAGGAAACAGTCGAGAAACTGAAGTTGAGTAATGCTGCTTTTCTACCAGAAGTAAGACAGTTACAGCCGAAGGCTTCTCAGAACTCTAAGGAAACCAAATTTTGTTCTTCCACAGATGAAAACAAAGCCTATCTTCTTATTCTTGGAAGAAACAGTTCAGTCTTGTGAACTGAGGTTCAAAGAAATATTGCAAGCAGACATAGTATTTTCTCTCCCTTCATCACCTGCTTCTCACGATCTGATTTTGTGTAGGACACCTTGACTCCTGTCTTGAGCACCATCTTTCCTTTGGTACTTTTTTCCTTCTCCATTTCCTAAGTTTATATTTTACTGTCCTGATGCAAACTCTTTTTATCTTGAAAAGATTTTAGGGTTTTTGCCGTTCTCTGTTAGTTTAGAAATTGTTTCAAATGCTGTGGGTCAGTACGAGGAAACCTTTCCTTGTTCATATGTGATAACATGCACAGGAATTAGCCCTGACTTTCCTTTTTGTTGTCTCCCAACTTCTGAAGGGCTAGCATAAAAGTAAATATCTTCACAGTGCTGCTACAAGTATACATATCAAATATCAGAGTATTGTGTCTGGGAAGTGTTATTAATATGTTTAGCTGAGTTCTGGGAATGTCACAAATGACCACAGTTTTGTTTCCACAGTTTGATACCAAAATGCTTTGAATAGCTAGTGCTAGGCATGTTGCCCTTTCAGTCATTAAGTGAAGATTTTATAGTTTCTTCTGATCTGAGAATCAGAAGTTCTCAAAATAGCTACTGCTTTCCTTGATTCTTCCTCATGAGGAGCTGGTAGGAACCAGTGACAATGATGCGGAACTTTCAGAGCTTCTCATAGAAAAACAAAAATCATATACCCAGAGTATTTGGTAGAAGTGTTCTAGCTGGAGCAAGTGCCTCAGGTAGCTTCAGTGGTTCCTTCAAGCAAAGAGCTGCCTTATCCCTAAAAATGCTGAGTTTTCCAGTTACAGGAGAAGTATTTCCTAGCTGGCTCTGCGGTTTCCATCAGTGCAAACAGTTACGCAAAAATTTGTTTTCTTCCCTCTCCCTTTCTGTCACCTGCTTCATCCCCAGTCTCACAGAGTAAAAAGAGAGACATTAATTCTTTATTTTTCGCTCAGATTTGTGGGTTTACTCAATAATACACACGTGTCTTCAACGTAAGCCTAGTGTTGCATCAGGAATTTAATGACGTACTTATCTGTTGTTATACCCCAAAGCCCAGGAGTTGCCAGTGCTGGAATACCTTCTTTTCCGTAAATTGAGATGTATATGGAAAAATATAAAGTCTCTAATCATTTCTTTTTACCTTTCTACTAATTATTAGGAAGTCCGTTTCTTTTTCTAGAAAGCAGTTTGTAAGTAGAATTTTAATATTAACCCATTCAAACTACTTCAGCTAAATAGAATACTGTCCTTTAAACCACACTGGTCTAGAAACATTAGTCTATGCTAAATCATTTGTCAAAATACTGGATTGGTAGATGTTGAGCATTATGAGAATTTTCTTCATTACAGTCGTTGGACTGATCCAATTATAATCAATGCCTCGTAGCTCAGCTATCCAATTTTCCTCTTCTAGTTCATTAACAGAGGGCTCTGACAGACCTTTGGGAATTCATAGCCAAATAATTTGTCAATGAGAGTAGTGTATGTAAATTGATAAATGTAGTTGTTAGGAAGAAATAATCATTGCAAGTTCCTGATGAGAACGGAATACTCTTAGTAATTTGAAGTAATCACTACTTCCACTTTCTAGGATTGTCTGTTGAATATATTATATAAGAATATAGTGCATTTTTCTTCCTAGGAATATGTAAACCTCCAGACATAAATCTCTTCATGTATGAAAGATATATGGAAAGCTAAAGCCTTCAATTTTCTCTCTTCAGTCATTGTCAATCCCATAGAAGAAACAAGTAGGACAGCTCCACATGCATGAATCATGGCATTTAGAAATCTGCTCTTGAGAAGGGAGGGGTAGTTTATGCAGTAAATTACCAAAGTCAATCTGAAAGACCCTTCTGTAGCGACATTTTCACTTGTCAGAATTTTTTCTGGTTTAAAAAAATACTCAAGCTGCGAGAAAATTTTAGTGCTTTTGTTCTACTGTTGCCTCTGTCATTCATCTCTTTCCTTTCCTTTTCTCACTCCAGTGTTTTTAGTTAGCGCTGTAATTAGGAAGTCACATTTACATTCTATGTTGAATACTTTTAGGACATAGAGTTTTCTTGAACCTTTACTTAAAGCTCTAATCAAAAGCTTTAGAAATAGTGAACAGTTGGATGTTGCTCTCCTTAAAACTCCAGGAGTCTGACTTTACTACTGCTCAGCTTTGTGCTTATTCTGAACTATCATTTAAATCCATATAAACATTGCTTCAGCCACCTTTACTAACAAAATCTCAGTCTTCTCACCTATTACCTGAAGAAATTCACCAAAATTCTTATTTCTTCTTTAATTTTTAGATTGATTTTCAGTGAAGGCCCTTAGTTTTTGTCTTTGCAGGGAAAGGAGCAAAATGCCAAAAAAAGCATCAAGTATTCCTTCTAAATGTATTTACTTTAGTGGTCACACTATACACAACCATGTCAAGGTTCAACTTTCTGCTGCTGCAGTGAAGTGCTGTTAATACATTATTTTATTCCTTTGCAACTACATTTTGATGTGGTTGATGTAGTTCAGTAGTTGATGGCAACTATTCATTGATGTCACTGTATTCATTTAAAGACAAAAAAAAAAGGATAGTGATATAGTTACAACACATTATTCACATTATTAAAAGACTATGTGGTATGAACCTCCTAGCATCAACAATGTTTAAATGATCATGATTTTGATTTCTTAATGAGTAAAATTCAAAGAAAGCCCTGTAATATACATACTGTAACCCTTAAGAGGGGTTTCATAATTTAAAGCTTTTGCTGAGAATGTAGGCTATGGATGATTTTGTTTTGTTTAAAATAATGGGGAATATACACAGTGAAGAGAGATAAATGACTAATCAGACTTTAGAAAGATACTGTGGTTAATTTATAGCTTGTGTTTTCATAATGACATTTGGTGAGAAACAGAACTGCAGATAACAAAGTATTGAAAAAGAGGAATATCATATTAATTTGGTGTGCAGCAAGCCTGCGGTTGGATAAACTAGTTTTTCACTTTATCCACTTAGAATTTAAGTCAATGTTAAGTGATGTTAAGCAGTAATATTGCCAAATAGTCTTAATCTAATCTAATGATTAAGATAGGATTTTAGGAATTTATTTTGGATTTGTTTTAAAATTGTAAAGGCATATGCTGTTTTGATGTTACTATGCTGATGCTCCTAGTGCGAGTGGCTTTATTGTAGCCTATGAAATGTAATGATTGGTTTCCTCCATCAACGAAACTATGAGAAAACATTTCTCACAATGAGGTCTAATGCTGAACAGATTGACAGTAGGATCAGGACTATTTACACTAACCTGTAGTGACTTCTTAATTGCAGTAACTGAGATGGCCCTATGAAGAGCAGGACCTTCCTGCCCCAGTGTGGCAGGACCGGTCACGTTGACACCTTCTTGCTTTGCAAACCCCAAGCAGGCGGCCATGGGCCTTGGTTCTGAGCTGCTCTTTTGTTTTGTGTTCAATGTGGTTGATGGTGTAAGTAAGAAGTGATTGTTTTTCATCTGCAATACGCTTTGGGAGAGGGTTATAAAACATGATTTGGTGTTCCTAATGTATTTTTCTGGCCTTCTTGAGATCCAACATTTCCTACTTCTTCCATATGTTTACAAGCATTTCGTTCTGATTTAGCTTATTGTCAAATCTACAGCTATTCTTTCTCTTCCTGCTTTCCTTTTTAATTGATAGAAGAATTGTATTGGTCTTTTGGTGAGCAGTGATCTATTCCTTAGGAATCAAGTTTTTTGCCTCTCTGAATTGATTGACTATGTACGTAGTTTATTTCTCCAAAGTAATGTCATAATTCCTGAAGACTTTATAAGTGTAATTCTTCACCGGTTAACCCTTTCTAAAAAATATGATGTGTCTAAAATGTTATTCTCCACTGAAGATGAATTTTCTTTCTCTCTGGAGCATCTCTGGCTCTCGGCTGTGCAAGGAGTAGGTATGGAACTTTCTAGGCTACCCACTTCAGTTAAATCAGAACCCCTCTCCTCATCTCCTCTTTGGGCTTTTGAGGGTCTCTCACTCTCCATTTCTACATTAATAATCACCTTGTGTACTTCAGCTTTACCATATCTTCGTGAAGATGAAAAATATGCACATAATCTCCTGTGTGCTTTACTAGTAACCTGTTCCATTCAACAGCACTTCCCAGGTCAATCCCTAGGGCTGCAAAACCAGAAGCAGTAAAGTTTAGGAAAGCTTATGTGCGCTCTATAAGTGAATAAAGCACTTCCATGGAGGTCCATCAGAAATACTGCATGCTATATTTCTTGGTAATAGCTGTGAATAGAAGATTATATGCAAACACATGCACTTATTTCAGCTGACATTTTATCCATTTCAATGAAATGTGCTTGCCTTCCTCCCTTAGGCTCCTTTGAAGAGCTCAGCCTACAAGTATTGTGCCTACATTGCTGAAGTTTCTGAAGTAATATATTCAAAAAATTAGCTGTGATCCATTTTGACTGATGTTTAATTTTACTGCAGCCAGCTCTGCAACAGTAGTAGTGTGCAAAGTAACTTGTAAGCAGGAACACTTTTAATGGAGGATACAAATTCTGCATCTGGTCCTTAATTTTGATGACTTCTCATTAATTTCAACAGCATTGCTTTGGTAAAGAATTTAGAAAATGACCTTTGATTTCAGCCATTTAAATTGCTAGTGGAGCTGTTACATCAGGCTTATGGGAAAAAACAGCAGGAGTAAAAATAAAGATATTAAATGCAAGGTTAAAAGTACGGTCCGTACTTTTCCTTTTACGTTGATTTTTGTAGTTTTGGCAGTACCTCCTTTGGCTTGCCATGCCATGGTTAGAGGTTAATCACACAAAAACCTTAGAGCATTTGTTTGACGTTGATCCTTGTTTATAAGACTGAGTTGCAAGAGAACACAGGCTTTGAGAGGGCCAGTGCTAGCGCAACTAAATTTAAATTATGTACTTATTACATTGCAAGTTTTCTTTTATGGAACTTCAGAC